CATTTATTTTTGGAATCAATAAGATGACAATGATTTTTATATTACACTTATCTCAAACCTTTTCACGTGATGACAATAACTAATTCTATGTTATCACAACATTATTCTAGGTAAATATTATAGGTATTTATAAGGGGGTTTTTCAAATAATGCTATAGACTATTTTTAAAGTGGCCTACTTTTATATATAATACAAACCAAAATGTTTATCATTGTAAAATAAAATTCAACATGAAAACTACATTTATTTTGGCTGTTTTGTTTTGCGTCGGTAAGTAATGATACTTTTCACATTTCTTATTATATTGCATCTTTATAAGACTATTGACTATAACTAATAACCATCAAACTATTAAATTTTTTAAAATACAGAGTCATCGAAAAATATCTTTTTATTATTAGGTTAGGTTGAAAAAAAAATTTTGTTGGTTTTGGTGCTCTAGTCAATTCCATGTCCCACATGTATTGCTACATTTCCCACATTTTAAATGAATGCATGTGTTTCTAAAATTATTGACCAAGAACGGAACCGCTGATTACCACAACGAAATAGACGGAAATCTTTATAAAGAAAGGTTTGAGAAGACGTTAATTTCAAACTTGCCGAAAGGCAAGTTTGAAATTAACGCTTAATATTACTTCAGCAAATTTGATTTCGCAAAAAGCTTGTGAAACAAAACGAAAAATCAAGAATTGTCTTATAGAAAAGAACATTTTCTTCGAAGAAGATTACCTAAAAAGTAAATTGCTGGATACCGCGGCCGCATTTAGAGACGAGTACGATTAATCACAAAATTGAAGCAATTTTGGAAAAATATGGTGTTACGATTTTGAGACTGCCGTCTTATCATTGGGAGCTGAAACCAATTAAGATGGTGTGGAGTTAAGTGAAAAAGTATGTGCATTCAAAGAACGTTGATTTAAAGAAAAAATGGTAGAATGATTAGTAAAAGAATCTTACCAACGCGTATCTAAAGAACAATGGCATGTCAATATGGTATAACATTATGTGAACCACGTCAAGAAAGTAGAAGAAAAGATTTTTGGGATGGACAATTAAGCAGGTCGTCAAACACCAAATTAGAAGAACACCTGAGTGAAGTTTAATTTGGATTCAGAGTAGGACTTGGAACGAAAGACGCATTTTTAAGTTTGCAAGTTCTAATACAGAAAGCCAGAGATGTGAAGTACGATGTGTATGCATGTTTCATTGATTTCAAGAAGGCATTTGATAAAATCCCACATGGAAAACTAATCAATATCCTAAAAACATCAGGACTCGATGGTAAGGATATAAGACTGATCTCAAACTTATATCTTCAACAAAAAGGAACAGTACAATTAGAAAGTAAACTGTTCGAGAGCTTCACAATCAAAACAGAAGGAAGACAGGGTCGCCTATTGTCACCGGCAATATTTAACACATATACTTTAAAAACATCTTTAGAGAGGCGTTAAACCAGGGGTGCTCAAACTTGAACTACTGGCGATCTACCTTAATATTTTTAGACTACTTACGAGAGACTGCAAGTGTGTGTGATGCAGGGTTGTCGTACATACACGATACACCCTACCTACCTAGGTAGGGCGTACCGTAGCATATATAGATAATAGCTTTCTGCACAATATATAAATACATTATTTTAGTCAAGGTTTGGGTTAGGTTTAGTTAAGTTCTTCTCTACAATATCAATGAAAAAACTCATAGTTATTTAAAATTGCGAGTTTATTTGTTGTAACAAAACAAAAGAGTTACATATGGTGTTAAACTTAACTAAGGAGTGGCTTTGGATGTTGAAGCGTGGCACTGCATGTCCTCAACATACTTTTCAGAAGATGGTACGTAGCCACTGAGTGCTAATCGCAAGCATGATGTCATATGATCGTCAGTTAGTCGATTGCGATATTTTGACTTAATTATCTTCATTTCAGAAAATGCAGACTCGCACAAGTAAGTTGACCCAAAAAATGCCATCAGTTGAAGGGCGATTTGCCTTACATTCGGATATTTATCTTCAGATATAAAACGCCAGAAATTTGTATCAGATATTGTAGCTTTGAGATGTATATCTGATATAATCTGCACCAACTCATTTTCAACAGAACATGAGTTCATATTAAACTGACTTGCTATTTCAGTAGCTAATTCCTTAATGTTTTTACATAAAAAAGGATAACTTATAAATGATGCTATATTTTTCAATTTACTGCAATCATAAAAACGCATTTCGAATTGTCCCAAAATATTTGATAATTCAGCCTCATACGTATCACAATTCAACTGAGAAATACTTGCTTTCAAAGACGGAAAATGTTTCAGATCCTTTCTTTTCATTCGATCTATCATAAATTGCAATTTACTTTTGAACGCGTTTACTGCGCTAATCATCTCAATAATAGTTTTTCCTTTACCTTAAAGCTCCAAGTTAACGGTGTTTAAGTGCATTGTGATGTCAGTCAAAAATGCCAAATTATGTAGCCATTTTTCGTTTTTCAAAATCTGAGTGTCATCACCTCTTTCGTATAGAAAAGCTGTTATTTCGGGGATTATTCTTGAAACCTTTCTAGGAATTTTTCGCGACTCAACCACCTGACGTCCGTGTGAAGAACTAAATCAGTGTGTTCAGCTGACACCCTATCTTCCAACTGCAACTGAAAGAGCCGCCGTTGCAAGCTACGTGCACGGATGAAATTCACAATTTTTGTTGCAATGCCCATAATTTCCCGACCAGTCGATCGCGATCGACCGTTTGAGCACCCCTGTGTTAGACGAATCAGAAGATGAGATTGCTGAGATGAACTTATAAACAACATTAGATATGCAGACGGTACAGTGTTGCTGGCAGATAGTGCTCAAAAGATGATAATCTATTTTTAAATGGGTACTTGAGAAAGTAACTCTGCCAAAACAGCTGTAGTGATAAGATTTTATAATAAATTTTGTAGTAGTATTGAAAACAAAAGTTTTCATTGTTTTATTGTTAGACTAACGTATTTTTTCAGTACCTAAACAAAATTATTTTTGTATAAGTAAAAAAAAACAGCTATATCTATGTTTTTAAACTAGGATTTTTTTGCAGGACTTACCGTTCACGCCCAATATCATGAGTAAGTACTAAGATATTTTCTGTTTTATATTTTATATTTACCAATTAAATGGGCAATTAGAAGAGGCAATAAGAGCATTACTTAATAAATGCCTATTGGAAGGACAAATACCGAAGACATGGAAAAATGCGGAAGCCATTCTACTCCATAAAAAAGGGGACGCCGCAAATATAGAAAACTACCGACCAATAAGCTTATTGTCACACCTTTACAAACTACTAACCCGAATAATAACAAATAGATTGACAGCTAAACTAGATGCATACCAACCAGTGGAGCAAGCAGGCTTTCGTAAAGGTTTTAGCACTATCGATCACTTGCAAACAATTCGGACCATTATTGAAAAAACAATAGAATACAACATACCACTACATCTAACATTTGTCGATTATCACAAAGCATTCGACAGTATCGAGAAATGGGCTTTCTTAACAGCATTGGACGACGCCAGAGTAGATTCAAGATATGCTGCCCTCCTTAAGAATATATACGATGATGCTACTTTTCACGTAAAAATAGATGATCTGGAAACTGTGAAAATAGACCTTGGCAAAGGTGTGAGACAGGGCGACATCATCTCACCCAAGTTATTTACTTTGGCATTAGAAAATGTTTTCAAACAACTAAATTGGGCCGAAAATTGATTAAAAATAGATAGATAATATCTTAACCATTTGCGTTTTGCAGACGACATAGTACTAATAAGCACAGATATCCATGAACTAAAATTAATGCTACAAGATTTAAATCACACATCGATTCAGATAAGATTAAAAATAAATTTCGACAAAACAAAGATATTAAGCAACAGCCTAGAAATAGGCTGTTGCTTAATAATACAGCAGTAAGCATTATTGAGTTACAAAAGTCAATTATTACATCTGTTATATAATTATGTTTTGGTAAAGTCTTAAAAAAGATTAAGAACAACGTTTTACAATAATTATTTTCAGCTTGTACTGCGACAACTGCGTAAGGTTTGTCACCGCAATCGAGCATATGGTACAGAACGGAGTTCCATTGGTAAGATTTTCAATCATTATTATAATATACAAAATACAGAGACAATCCTCATACGAAAAGAAAACCTTAAATCATGTACAAAGAAATAATTGTGTGTCAATATTTTAATAAAACTTAAATCTATTTAGTTTATTTGTCAATAGGAACAATTATGTTTTATATTGAATATTTCACTGGAATATTTTTAACTAATAAAACGTCATGGCAACGCCATGTTTTCTACTGACAAAACTCCATCGAGCAGAAAGACAAAAGACGGAATTTAAAAGTAGTGGGGGCGAAAATATTGTTAGACAGGAAGTGCCATCTTGAGAGGCCAAATTAGACAAGGAAAGAGAGTCTTTCCTTGTTTAAGAAATCAAATTTAGTGTGGTTATGTTATTTTTTGTTTCAACTGTCACATGAAATCTTATTTATATTGAAGTTTTTTAACAATTGTTTTACATTTTAGACTGTTATCGATAATATTTAATTAAAACTTTCTCGTCTTAGACACATTCTGAAAACTATTTTATATGACTGTACTGTTAATAAGTGTCGGAAAATTTAAATTTGGTGCATTCGCATTTCCGAATATGTCCACCATCGGAGGCCATTTTTTTGGTCTCCTTTTCATAACGATTAGATTTCCTCTTTTGTATTTTCGCTCGATGCAAAACTCCTTCCTGTCCGTGATTTCCCAGCGACAAAATTATGACAGATCCGTTACGAAGGTGTCTGGTAGTTCTATTATTTGGGACAATAGTTAATTTTGGACAGATATAATGAATCCAGACTAAAAATCAAAATTTAGATGCCAGTCTGGTAAAGATATAAAAAAATTGGTTTTGGAAAACGTCCCTTTGAACAAGCAGAGGTGCAGAAGCTCTATGTGGACCCAATTTTTGGAGTTCCTATGGTTGAGAAATTTTAAGCTTGAAAGATGTACTACCATAACGGAACTAGCAAAAATTCTCGAAGATTATGCCTTTAACATTAAAAAAGGCAATGGTAAAGACTGTAAAGAGTCATCTGTAAAGTCAGTGTGACATACTATAGCAAAAATGATACAAGAAAAATATTTTATGGAGTACGGCATAAAATTCAATTCTTTCACAGATATATTCCTCAAATGTGCAAGATTTTCCAGAAATAACAAGCAAAAAAAAAAGAACAGTAAGCTCAAAATTAATATCCACCAAAGACCTATTAAAAATCATTCAAAGCTACAAAGAGGATATTCCCGATGGAGCACAAAAAAAGTTTTTCACATGTGCTGATTTGAACTTTCTTGGAGAGGCAATGAGGCATAAACTGCAAGATCCCCATTTTTCAAAAGAAATTTGATAAAATCAAAAAATGTACGGACCGAATTAAATACAACAGCATTGTTTTCAAAACAAATCAAGGCGGTTCAAAAAGTTTGGCAAGCAGCAAATGGCTGCTGACGATTACATTTTGCTGATAATTTTTCGACTGTTCTAACAACCATTCAAATTTCATCATTTTGTGTCATGTGGAACAATTTCAGCCAATTATGTCAACATTAGACTGATAATTGCATTCAGGGCAATTTTCAATCCCTAGACGACACGATCGAGTTTGACAACTTCATCCAAATAAATTTCAAAATGTCACGTTTTGGCAATGAGATTGTTCAAAGTATAAATGCGCTAATCAAAGAAAAAATTCCCAGAAATACAACTTACAGTCACAAATATATTTGGGGAATATTCATGGAATTTTGCTGCAGACGAGAATATGAGTTGAATAAACATAGAATAACATAGATAACAAATCACTTGAATAGATCAGCTGCTATTAGCGAATTAGCAAAAAGTGGTGTAGAAAAACAACAATTGCTAAAAATTACTGGTCATGGCAATCAGAATTCTATAAAACCATACTTGAATCTTGATCAAGAACACCACAACCAGATTATAAATATTATGCGTGGTAATAGACCTTCTATAGTAGAGAACAGCAACGAATCTAATGTTAACTTAAATTTTAATAATTGTACTTTCACTAACTGTACTCTTAATAAATAAATGTTTCGTTATGTTGAGTTATGATTTTTTTTTTCGAAAAATTATCCGCCGAATATCCCTCGGACATTGATGAATGCCTCATAATTTCATGACAAATTTCTCAAGCTCGTTGCTTGGTAACAGCACGAAGCCTTCGGCTTCGTGCTGTTACCAAGTAACGAGCTTTCGATTGTCATGAAATTATCTCGTCTGTTATCAATGTCCTAGGGATATTACTACTGATAATTATACCCTGTTGACGTCTATGAAATATCGAGCAGTTCCGTATGGGTTTCGTATTATTAGCTGTGTTAGAAAATTTTGAACTGTAAGGTTGATGTTCTGGAAATTTTAAATATAAGTGACGTCACTTTATATAAATTGTGACGTGCAAGCCTTTTTATATGAAAAATGCTATATGCTATAAGTTTTAATCAAAAATAAAAATGCTTCTTTATTTTACAGGATAAAGTTGAAAAAGATGCGAAAGCATTATGCGCCATAATACCACAACCAATGGAAACCTTTTGCGAAGATACATTGTTGCCTGAAGTCGAGAATATCTACAATCAGGCCAATAGCACCTCACCTCAAGAACTATGCGAAGCTTTGAACGTTTGTCAGGATGATTAGGTTTAACTATTTGTAGTTCTTCTCAAAAGTAAAAATAATTTTTAAAGTACATATTGTATTTTGTATATCTAATAAAAACTAAGCAAATACCTAACTGATTTACTTTGTTGATCAAACCTTCTCATCATCACTAATTTAGGATTAAATAACTTCTGGATTTACTGAGCAATTGGTTGGTTTAAAATTTAAATTACCAGGATTTTGTTTTATTTTTTATCTCAATGTGGAGATATGAAAAAGTTTTGTTTTAATAATTTTTTGGTTTTATCCTAATAAATACAATACTGATTATATTTCCATAAAAAATAAACTAAAAGCCAAAAAATGTGGCAAATAAATAATGGGTAACATTTGTCCCCCACTCATCGAAATATTATGATTCTTAGGCAAGCCACTGATGGAGGGTTAAATATTATTATTATTATAACGTAAGCGAGGGCAGAGGAACTAAGTCCCTATTATGCCCAAAAACAAAGAAATTTCATTAATCACCTACTAGTCAATAACAAAAATTACAAATTAAAGAAATAAAATAACAATTTTGTGGTTTAAAAGAAAAACAATATTTTAACTATAATATAAAACGGTCAAGTCTGTTTTTCAACGGATTGATAGAGGGAGCGGAGACAATGTTATCGTTAAGGATATCCCAGCACGCAAAAACTCTATTTGGAAGAAAGTTCTGTCTTGGTCTTGTAGAAAAATTTTCTTTCTTTAGTTTATACTGATGACCTCTGCGGCGGTCATCTTGATTTATGATAAATATTTCATCGAGGTTTCCAAAATTAAATTTTAGTATTTTAAATGTAATTAAGTCTCCACGTTGTCGGCAAAGTTCAAAAGTAGTTAGTTTAGCCATACTAAGTCTTTCTGCATAAGACGGTCTTCTCGGTCCCACAGAAATTCGAGTGGCTTTTCTTTGAACGTTTTTCAACAAAGTCTTGTCTCGAACCAGATTAGGATACCACGTCGGTCCAGCGTATTGAAGTGTGGGTCTTACGTACAGAGTGTAAAGTTTACAGAATGATTGCATTGAATATCTCGAAAAACACCTCCGAATAAGATACAGTCGAGTTTGCACGTTTACAAATAGGGGTAATATGGTCGGACTAAGAATAAGATCTTCTTCTTCTTCTAGTTCCATGACCGTTATCGATCGTTGGATATCATGTTGGCTACCATATTCGCTATCGTGACTTTATTGACAGCAGCTCTAAATAACGATGTAGTTGATTTTTCATACCATTGCCTTAGATTTTTCAGCCATGATGTTCTTCTTCTACCAGGACCACGATTACCTTGGATCTTTCCCTGAATAATCAGATGTAAAAGATCATATTTTTCGGGGTGTCTCATAATATGACCGAAGTATTCCAGCTTGCGTTTCTTTATTATATTGATATCGTTAGAATAAGATCGTTATACGAAAACACAAATTCTAATGGCTGCCCGTTAACAAAGTACGGCACAAGTGGGTTATTTTTACCAATTCAAAGCACTACACATTTTTCCGCGTTTAAGGGAAGTAACCACTGGGAACACCAAGTTAAAATAGAGTCCAAGTCCATTTGGAGGGTTAGCTGGTTTGTGATTTAATTTCCATATATCGTCAGCGTAGAACAATATTTTAATTGAGACATAATAAGGATTATCGCTGGTGTAAACCATAAAAAGCAGAGGTCCGAGGACAGAACCCTGAGGCACTCCACTTTCCACTAACCTGTCCTGTGAGAAAGATTCGCCAACTCTAACTTCGTAATATCGATCTGTCAGGAAATCATCTATCCAACGAAGTAAAATACCGCGAACTTCGAAATGTTCTAGCTTATCTAGAAGTCTGCGCTTAGGTACACGGTCAAAGGCTTTAGAAAAATCTAGATAAATATCGTCAACCGGCTGCGAACTGTTAAGGGATGACGTCCAGTCGTTAACACAATGTAGGAGATTGGTTAGAGTAGAGCGACCAGAGACAAATCCATGTTGTTGTGTTGGAATAACATGTTCCTGGAGAAGGAATTTGGTCATCTCCTCGGAAATAATGGCTTCCATAACTTTGGCAACTACTGGCAGCAAGCTAATCAGAACATAATTGTTGGGGTCAAGTTTGTTGCCTCTTTTGAAAATAGAGGTAACGGAAGCTAATTTCTAACTAGGGGGTAAGGAGTTCTAGATGAAAGAAGTTTGCATAATTAACGTTAAGGGTATTGCAAGCGTGTCGGCGCACCTTTTTAATAGTTTTGGTGTTAAACCATCTAAACCAGCGGTTTAGATGGTTTAACAGCTGAAGCGGCCGTGCGAAGTTTAACTAAGTGTTGTTTGACATGATCCACTGTAAATTCAAGTTGCTGTAAACCGGAGGCACCGCAGACGTTCGGATACAATTAGCGTCTCTTAGCAAAGACAATGACGTCGACTTTGCTTAGTATCAAGACAATTACTCTACACACACAAACACACACACTACATTAATAAACTTATCTTGATTGAGACAGGCTGAATGACAATTGTCCAAGCCAAAACACACACAAAAAAAAACAAAAGTTGCTGTAAGGATGCGCCGACACGATTACAGTTAATAGCAGGTAGATAACCATAATTTAATTCTTTAGTAAAAACCTGTGAAAATGCTAAAGAGAGAGTTTCAGAAAATTCTTTGTCAGAAAAGCATAAAGTCTGGTTGGGTTTTTGAAGTAGCGGAATGGAAACTTTGGATGTCATGGAGGAACGAATGTATTTCTAGACTTTTTTAATATTACCACTTTCAATAACGTTTGCTTCAAAATTTTGTCTTAGGGTTTTTAGAGATGTTTTTAAGATATTTGAAAATCTGAGGTGGCTTTGGAAATCACTAAAAAGCCCGGTGTGTTTAAATTTTTACCATAGATGTCGTTTGTAATTAATTTCTTTAACTATATTTGTTTAATATATAAAATTGATATAAGAAAAGAAGATATCAGCCATTTAACAAAGCAGGAATCTATTACCAAGTACAATAACCTAGCAAACGTTCTAGTTCTGACCTAACAATGGAATGAATTCGGAAAAAATTACAAGAAAAAGAGAAGGAGAAAACCCAGAATGAAATGTATCAAAGAAATAGAAAGGAATAAAGAAAAAACTATATTGAAAAGTTTAAGACGATGTAAAAAAATAAAAATATATGAAAAAAATGAGTAAAGAAAAAACGGAAATCAAATTCGACGTTTGAAAGGGCAGAAGGATCTGAGCTTAAAAATAAGCAGGTGAATATCAAAATGTATTTAAGTCGGCATATTTAACTCTAAAGATATCTTATTTATATACCAATACGATTTTTAAATGAATACAATGACAATGAATTATAATTTTTTTTATCTTGCACCTGCTAATATCAATACAATCGGTAGGTATTAATATTATCACTCACGTAACTCATATAAAAAATATACACGGAAGTTAGTAAAGAAGTAATCATTATCTCTTAATCTATTCAAGTACTTGTTCCTCTTTTCCTATAAAAAGCAAACATTACCAACTCAACATATTGTGAAAAACAATTCTCAAACATGAAGACTACATTGGTTTTGGTAGTTTTGCTTTGCGTCATCGGTAAGAAATTTTTTATAATTTTTTTAATATTATATCTACTGGCTACTATTTTTATTTTATATGGTAAATATTTTTGTATCTATAAAATTTTTTAATAAATTCTATCTCTAGAGACTGTCTATGTCGTTTGATATACAATCTTCAGCTATCTATAATATTCCAGGCATCTTGTTCTAAACGGCAATCTTTTAAATCTTTGTCTATTTGACTTCTCCAACCAGGTCTTCTGTGTTTCCTTTTCCTACCTGATTTTTATTTTATATTTATATCACTTAATCGAAACGACTTGTGTTGGACATTCCTTGTACGTGGCCAAACCAGACTAATCATTCATATTTTATTTTATTAGTTATCGTGTGTCTTTCTTTCATGATTTCTCTGATTCTTATTTATTTATTTTGCCTATCTGCATTTTTAATTCTGTTTTTTTCTACTTCTAATATTATTCTTTCTTCTGTTTTGTTTAATGTGTTTTAATTTTGGCAATAAAGTTGCCAGATTCACACAAAAATCTAATTTTATGCAGCCTTCAGTCATCCGTTCACTTTTTCTTCTTCATGTGCCTTGTCCGTTTCGAACGTTGGCAATCAACATGGCTATTCTGACATTATTTACGGGAGATCTGAATAGTTCAGCAGATGATAATCCGAACCATTGCCGCAAGTTTTGGAGCCACGAGTATCTTATCCTCCCTGGACCCCTTCTGCTATCTATTTTCCCTTGAACGATCAGCTGTAGTACTCTATATTTATTATGTCTCATATCGTGACCCAAGTATTCCAACTTTCTTTTCGTTACTCTCTACTTATTCCTACCTCTCTCTCTTTACCTATCCGGCGTAGTACCTCTTCGTTGGTCACGTGCTCAGTCCAGGATATACGTAATATACGTCGGTAAGCCCACATTTCGAAGGCCTCTACTTTTTTTATCAATGTTGAGGTCATTGTCCACGCCTCCATTCCATATAACAAAACCGGGAATACATACCATTTCAGAAGTCGAATTTTGAGAGGTAGGGTGACGCTTTTAGAGGTGAAAATTTGCTTTATGCTAGTGAACGATGCTCTTGCCTTTTCTACTCTTATACGTATTTCCTTCGCTTGATCCCAATTTGAGTTAACTGTTGTTCCCAAGTAGATGTAAGAATCCACGTGTTCAATTCTTTCATTGTCTAATATCAGTTGCGGTGGTGGTTGTTGGGTTTTGCTTACTAACATCCATTTGGTTTTTGTGATATTTAGTCTTAAGTCCGTATTGTGCACTTGTTTTTTGTATCTTACTCATTAGGCAACTCAGTTCCGCCATGCTACTTGCTAGAATCACAGTGTCATCAGCATACCTTATGTTATTAATTATTTCTCCATTTATCTTTATGCCTATTAAAGAGAATTGGAGACAAGATACAGCCCTGTTGTACCCCTTTTTTGATCTCAATATTATTGGTCAATGTGGATCCTACTTTCACTTTAGCTCTTTGATCCCAATAGAGACTCGCTATTGTTCGAATGTCTCTGTATTCGAGTCCGATCTGATGGAGAACTTCAATTATTATGTTATCGAATGCTTTTGCATAGTCTATAAAGCATATTGCATACGCAGCTTTACAAGCGTAGTCTATAAAGCATATACCATCAAGAAAAGAAAAACGGCGTATCTAGGTCACATCATGCGAAATGAAAAATGCCAGTTCCTCCAACTTATAATCAAGGGTAAAATTGAAGGCAAGAGAGGAATGGGACGCAAGAAAATATCCTGGCTCCCAAACATAAGCCAATGTACAAGGATTAACGACATACAATCTCTGATACACATTGCAAGAAATAAAGAATTAATTAAAAATGTGATCGCTAACATCCATTAGTGGATTTGCATCTGAAGAAGAAGAATAAAGCATATGTACACGTTTTTGTTCATATCTTGCAGCGCTGGATGAGTACCTGTAGACTAAAAAGTGCTTCTCTAATCCCAAGAGAATTCCGAAACCCAAACTGCGAATCTCCAATGTTATCCTCGTATTTTTTGCTTATTCTATTATAAATAACCTTGGTGTATGCCTTCGAAATGTGGTTAATTAGACTTATCATCCGATGTTGATCACAAGACTTTGCTTTTGGTTTTTTCGGTATGGCAACAAAAGTTGACTCTAGCCAGTCTTCAGGAACTCCCCGCTGTTATAAATATTGTTAAAGAGTATGTCGAATGAGTCTAGAAATTGACTATTTGTTTCGCACAGCATTTTCAGTACTTCCCCGTATACGTTATCGTTGCCTGGTTTTTTGTTATTTTTAAGTCCCTTTATAGCATTCTTCACTTTTGATTTTAGAATAGAAGGGCCAGTATCATCATTGCTCAGTGTACACTCACTAGGACGGTCATTATTAAACAGTTGTTCCACATAAGTTTCCCAGATTCTAACTATTTTGTAAGGGGTCTAGTTATAGATTTCCATTATTATTGCACAGCCCTTTCGATAAAATATTGTAGCTTTTCTTTGTTGTGAGTTCCTTTATCTGCTAATGTTCCGTTCACTTAGCAATCACAATCCAAAACATACCAATTTAAACCAAAAGTCTTGGTTAAAAGTTGGTACAGCTTTACGTGAAGAAACTAAAACACACTAAAATATCTGAAAATTAGTTCGATATTATGCAGGGCAGATCAATAACAGATGCAATTATAATTATAAAGTAACTGTTAAAAAAATATAGAAATAGAGAAAGAAACCCTTACCTATATCATATTCATTGATATTGCGAGAGCATTATATAATAGATTTCGATAGAAAGAAGGAGGAACAAGGAATGCATGTGACAGAAATGAAAGAAGATAGGTAAAGGGATTCCATCAACGGAATAATTTACCTATATATAATAACTTTGGATACATATAATATAATTTATCTATCTTCTTCTTCTTTATATTGAGTACCGTGCAAAAGTTTGAGGCGTGGGTAGCTTCCATGAGGATTTGCCGATATTGTTCTCGATTTTGCGCAGCATGTAATAATTCATCTGCTGATAAGCAAGTCCATTGACGAAGGTTTTGGAGCCATGAGTATTTTCTCCTACCAATTCCTCGTTTTCCGTCGATCTTTCCGTTGAGTATCAACTGCATCACCCTGTATCTGCTTCCTCTCATTATATGCCCCAGATATTCGAGTTTTCTCTTTTTTATCATCTTTATTAAGATACCTTCACCTTGACCTACTCTGTTCAAAACTTCTCTGTTTGAAATGTGTCGAACCCATGATATTCTTAGCATTCTACGATATAACCACACCTTGAAGGCTTCTAATTTGTTTATCATGTTAACCGAATATTTCATTTATAATAATTTTATAACTATTTTTTTATTTTTAGGTATTACCGTTCAGGCTGAGTAAGTAGCAAATAATAACAAATAATGACTAGCTTCTTATATTAAACAAAACTAAAAATAATTATTTGAGTATATTAAACAACCACTGCATACGTTAAATGGCATTCATGTCTAGCAATATACATTCTTAGTTTACAATTTATTGAACGGATATGGTTATTTAAACCATAAAGAATTTGTAAAAACTCAAAAATTTTAAAAAATATCATAATAACATCCAAACCATCTAAAAAGCTATTCAATTTTTTTTACACAAATTGTACTAAACAATCATTTTTTTTTTTTGAATCGGACAATTTAGTTTTTTAGGTAGTTATTTTTGAGGTTTCAACTTTTTAAAACTAAAAGATGGCAAAAGTACTATTTTCAAGACTAAAAAATACAAGTAAAGAATATTATTTTTGAATACATCAAGGATATAAATTCAAGACCAAACCTTGCTCTATCATTTCCGATAAGAATTTTAAGCTTATTTTATTTTAAAATATTGTCTTTTATTTGTTAATGAAGAGCTTATGATAGAATGGGCGCTCGGCTTCGGAATTTACAAGAAAGAGAAACAAAATCTATGGCACAACCTTTTGCTGGTGTGAATTCTGATTGTACAAATGAACGCCCTCCATGTCATACACGCTTCATTATAAATTAGAAAACAATGTTTTAAAATAAAATAAGCCCATAATTTTCATCGGTAGCTGATAAAAGAAGTTAACTTGAACTTGAATTTATTCATCAATTCCTTATGTACTTAGATTTATCACACATATTTAAAAAATAATATTTTTTACTTGTGTTTTTGAGTCTATAAAAAAGCTTACAACATACATTCTTTGTTCACAATAATCCAGAGCATAATGAACCCAAAATAAAAACCTAAAGCAAAAACTTTATCAGGGTCCAAAAAATTTATTGATAAAATTTGTATAAAAAATTTGTTTGCCTGGACGAGCTCTTGATCCTTATTTTAAGTATAAAAAGTTACTCTGGAAAAAAATATCTTCTTCTTTGGGTGCCGTCTTCAATGAAGGTTGGCGATAACCTTAGCAAAATCATTTCTGTCCCTGGCTTTTCTTATTAAAGATTGAGAATCCAAACCAGTCCACTCACGAATGTTCTTCAACCAGGACGCCTGCCGTCTACCAGGACCACGTTTTCCTTCTACCTTCCCCTCTATAAGAAGCTGCAGTAGCTGGTATTTCTCATTTCTGTATATGTGTCCCAAATATGAGGTTTTCCGAAAATATCATAAGTATATTTTTCCAAACGAACCCGATCTTTCCGTCTTGTCTAAAAAATAAAGCAATAATATAGTAACTTAAGTACTATTGTAATAATTTTAACTTTTTTGCAGCTTTTTGTGCGACTTTTGCACAACCTTTACCAGAATAATCAGGGAATATAGCGAAGACGAACTTCCACTGGTAAGTTTTGTAGGCAATATGTTACAGAAAATATGTTGGAATCAAAATTTTCTTTTCTATACAATACCTTAAACGCGGTAAAAATATGTAAAATATTTGTTTCATTACGGGTCGAGGTAGCCTCAAGAAGTTTTATTTTGCGGAGATTCCAGAACTCTTGGGCCGTCGGTAAAGATATAGGAAAGACTAGGCTCTACATAGCGAGGCCATCTAAAATACTTACAGCAAAACTTTTCCTTCTAGATCATAGAAGATACTCTCCGATGGTCAGTATGCTCTACCGGCCACTGTAGCCTAAGGGATATTTACATCTGCTTGAATTGGCCGATTACTGTCTATATCATAAAAAGGAAAACCTCCTCACATGTCTTCTATAAATGCCTGGCACTAGCCTATTTACAGGTAGGCAGATCCTAGCTTTGGACCTTGTAAAACCTAGCCAAGTAAATGAGTTACCTCTAAAGATGCTTGTGGCTTTCTTTAAGGCGATAAGCTTACTAAGGGATTAGACATTCGAAATGACAGGAAGAGCTCTAATTCTGCCAGATATAGAAACCACGAACAGAATAAACACGCTTTAGAATGTCTGACTGTCTGAAAGGCTAACAAATGACAAGTAAGCACACGAAGATTAAACCATCCTTCTTTTGCTTACTGTAACCATGGCGTCCTTAGTCTATCTATCTTCCTTGTTTTTTCTAGTCTTTCTTTAGTTATGTTTACCTAAATTAGCTCGCTGTCTTAATTTCTATTAAGTTGAAAATTACTTATATTTCTTATTAACAGTTAACTTGCCTTACCAGAACAAAGAACCTTCCAGGTATTTATCTTTTAAAAATTCGCAAAGAGAACTAATTTATTGGCCATTGTAAAGCACCAAGTATCAGTAGCAAATGTGCTAATAGGATGTGACTATTGAATGTAAAACATATATTTTTAGCCAGAAGAAATAGTCGCATCATATCTTTTTTTATAGTAAAATAAATATCATCATATTGTAATTTATATATAGCAATGCTAATGATTTTATAGCAGGATCGTCTATTAAAGTTTTGATTGAGTTTCCGCCTTTAATGTCCAAGTTTCTACTCCGTACAGAAGCACTGAGTATACGCAACTTTAAGGGGCCTTATTTTTGTTTCCATGCTGAGGTCATGGCTCTTGAACACAGAGCTCATACACGACGCAACATTTAATCTCTTGGGTATTGTCCCACGACTCATTGATTATAGTTCCCAAGTCGTTGTACTGTGAGACACGTTCAATTCTCATTTGGTTCACATACAGATTTGCTCCAGTTATGTTTTGCTTGCTGATGATCATTAGCTTGGTTTTGCTGGTGTTTATATCCAGACCATAGGTTTTACTTGTCTTCGGTACTTTGTTTATCAAGTTTTGCAGATTTTCCATTGTATTGTATGGTATATTTTTTCTGTAACTAACTAATTTTATAATCCTGCAATAAATACTTTGTTAAATACCCCTTTTTTGTTTTTTAAGGTAGAAAGAAGTACTAAAACACTGCTACTCCATTTTCACTTCTATAATAATTGTATTAAATAAATTTATTAGTAAACTTGTTCCTGTCTGATAAAACTGTTAACGCTTTCTTATCGATGTCATCTAGTCTAACTGCTTTATCTTCCTTTATTTTTTTTTTAATATTTAAACAACGTTCTTGTTTGTTATTTCGGTAAGCATTGCTATAACCATGGTCTTATTTAGTTCAACTAGTTTTTTGTGAAACTCTTCGTTTATAAACTGTAAAAATGTTTTTCTCATCCCTGTTTATTACCTTGACCTACTTTAATAAACTACCAATTGACCACTAAAAATTAAAAAACGCTCTTTTTTGTAGGATCAAGTAGAAGCAAACGCAGCAGAAATTTGTAAAGTTTTGCCAGATCACATAAAAGCTGTATGCGAACAATTATTTTTGCCAAAAGTCGAAGAAATTTACAAGCAGCTCGAAAACACATCACAACCACAACAAATATGTGATTCTTTAGAGTATTGTTAGAGATATAGAGTAATTATTGTACTATAATATAGACTAAAAAATAGTGAATAAATTTTAGTTTTTAGTCTTCTTTGTTTTTGTTATAAGTTTTTAATATTAATAGATTTTTAACTCCTTAGTACTTGCTAGGAATTTTTGAAAACTAGTAGTCGCGCACGGTCTAAATGACCGCTTCGTCCTTTACTTCTTAGTATACTAGAGTCTTTAGAACCAGTTTAAGTAAAAGACTATTTTATTTATAATTAATAAGGATAATAACATATTACAAAGTAAAATAAAACATTGGACCAAACACTTAAAAAACTATTCTCTACTTCGATCAAAAAAGCGGAACTTGTAGTTAGTCCAATATAAGTTCAGTTGTTTACTCTTCGAATACTGTACGTGTATGCTATTTGCACAAAAACTTTTTATATCTACAGCAGAAAACACTTTCATAGAGAATTATTTCAAAAGTGGAAATTGAAACGTCAATAAAATTACTTTAACCTTTAATTGTGGCTTATTTCTCATTTAAATAGTATTACTTTAAAATTTCACAAGAAAATAGCTTTATACTTTTTACAAGTCTTTCATAACTTAAGGTGATGTACTACAGGCTACTTGTTTTAGAGGATTCCAAAAGCGGTACCCATAGTCACAATAGCCAATAAAATTATACGTTCTTGATCTTTCTTGCAGTCCTTATAAGCAATGAGTTAAGAGCTTCCATCATTATCAACAAAGTTTCTTGGGTTTTATTAATTTCCAAAACATTATCTTCAAATAACTGAATAATATCTGTTGCAGGCAAATAGTTCTTAACAAAGTCTTTGTGCTTATCGTCAGTTCTGGCAGGTTTTTTTTAAAGATGGCATCAAGAACACCATATTGTCCCAATGTTCTTCAAATGAAATGTCCTTCAAATTAATATGGGCTTCATTAAATTGTTTTACATCAGCAATAAAAACATAGAAAAAAAGAAGAATGGAGACAATCATATATCTCTCCAATACACAAGACAGGAACAAAGACGGATCCTAAAAACTATAGAGGATTCGCAGTGATTGCTACTATAGGCCGACTATACTCGAAAGTACTACGAAATCTAATAGAAGATGATATTACAGACAAACAACAAGATGAACAAACGGGATTTAGGGCCGGACGCTCCACTATGGATAATATTTTCACATTGTAAATTGCATTGGAAAAACGAGTGTAGAGAAATAGAGAAACTAATATAGCATTAATAGATTTGGAAAAAGCATATGACAGTGTACAGATCTCTCAACTATGAATAGAAATGGTAACTTGAAAATAAACCCAATTCTTATTAACGCCACTCAAAAATACCACAAACAAAACTTTGCAAGAATTAAAATGGGACAAAAAATCACCTCTCCTTTTCAAACAACAAAAGGATTAAGACAAGGCTGCTGTCTGTCACCCACCTTATTTAAAATCTATTCAGAGTGATCCTTATTGAGGTTAAAAAATGTAGCAACATTGGAATAACTGTAGAAAAAAACATGCTATCTACACTTTTCTTTGCGGATGACCAGGTAGTAATTGCCGATGACAGCTGCGATCTTAGCTATATAATAAGAAAACTGCAAGAAGAATATGAGATGATAGGTCTAAACATGAATATAACAAAATGTGAATATCTCCCAGTTAGAACAGATGAAATATGTGACCTAGTATTGGAAGACGACAAAATCAAAGGCGTGCAATCCTGCAAATTAATATTTGGGGATCATTTTCGACAAGAAGTGAAAGAGCGCAGATGAAATCCGGGAAAGAATAAACAAGGGCAGAGCAGTGATACGTGCCTTAAATTCTCTTCTTTGGCAAAAAAACAATTCGACGAGAAACCAGAAAACACACTTTACGGTTCGTTAGGAAGTATGGGACGTCACCAAAGCTAATAAAAATAAACCTATGACGACAGAAATGAACGATATTAATAAAGCAATAACGGCAAGATACTTAGAAGAGGCAACTCACTATGACATAAAAGGATAGAAATTTTATATAATTATTATTATATATAATAACTTATATGCAATACTTGGGCACATTACAAGAGGCGAAAGATATGAACTGCTTCGAATAATTATGCAAGGGAAAATAGCAGGAAAAAGGTCCGTAGGAAAAAGACGAAACTTCTGACTTAAGAATCTACGGGAATGGTATAGCTGTAGCAATAACGAATTGTTTCGGTCAGCAGTTTCAAAAATACGTATAGCCCTGATGATCACCAACCTTCGGAACGAAGATGGCACTTGGAGAAGAAGAAGAAGAAGATAGATATTAAAAAATTAATTGTTGGACAAAGCCATAAGTAAATAAGAGGCGTGTCAAAAACCGCATTATTCTGCAAACTACACTTTTAGAAACACAAATTTTACTTTGTTTAAAACAAAAATATAAAAACACTTTGCCAAATTTTCACAGCTCGGCTCGTAAGCTGTTAGCGCAAGTTAATAATATTAACACTATAATAAATTATACTATAATTAATAAAGTAAAAAACGGAAACTTGGAGTCCAATATAAGTTCAGTTTACTCTTCGAGTACTGTACATGTATGCTCTTTTTATATCTACAGCAGAAAACACTTCCTTTTCGGTTTATTCATGGTTGCAAAAGCAGCATCTACCATGTACTCTTCTATTCGTTAATTTTTCTACTGTCGCTCGGACTTGACGATGTTCAAGTCCTAAAAGCTTCAAAATTTTTTTCTAAACATTATGTATTTAGCAAAGTTGTTACTTGTATGAATCACTGTATAAAACGTTAAAATTTCTAGTTTAGAATGTTCAACGGTGTCCTTATCTAGAGCGTCGTCATCATGCAGACTTGAAACAAGCAACACAACTTCCTTTTTTTTGGATATACGACACTAAAGTACATTATATCGGTAAGAGCAAATATACTTGATTTTAGAAGATACGGTAATTCTTGAAGTAATTCAGGGACCAATTCTGCTTGTTTTAAAGGGTCCCAAAAGCGGTACCCATAATCAAAATAGCCAATAAAAATACATATTCTTGATCTTTTTTACAGTTTTCATAAACAATGAGTTAAGAGCTTTCATCACCCTTATCAAAGTTTCTTGGGTTTTAATAATTTTCAAAACATTATCTCTAAGTAACTGAACAATGAGTTCTCAATCAAAGTCAAATAATTCTCAACAAAGTGGTTATACTTATCATCAGTGCTGGCAGGTTTTTTGAGAGATGACGGACATATTCTTGAGATCGGAAACACCATACCATTCCAATGTTCTTTCCAACTGAAATTTCCACAAATTAATACGGGCTATATTATTTTTTTTACATTAGCAATAAAAAATTTATTGCTGGACAAATCCATAACTAAATGACACGCGTGCAAAAACAGTGAATACAATTTTTCCTGCAAACTACACCTTTAGAAACACAATTTTTACTTTGTTTGAAACAAAAATATAAAAACACTTTTCCAAATTTCCACAGCTCGGCTCGTAAGCTGTTAGCGCAGTTTAATAATAATTTAAGAATTGTTAAAAAAATATATTAGAAGTGACAAGTGAGATTTAAAACATCAACAAAATTGTAGTATTGTAGTATTTGTAGTACAAAATTATAGTACGGAATTGTTCAACAACAAATTTTGTATAAACCGTTTATATTGACATTCATTTTATATCAATTTAATTTCGTACAGCAATGTTCTTATTTTAAAGTTTCTCAATAAAGTGCCTTTTAACCACTTAAATCTTTGGTAATTGAGAATGAAACATCAAAGGATTTCCTATTTCAAACATTATTATTTTACAATTTTCCGAAGGAGCCTGTCTAGTTAAGCGGCTTTTGTTGAGAGGAAGTTGCATAATGCTCTTCAAACAAAAGAAAGTACAAAACTGTGTATCATTCCGAACTAAAAATCGCGAAATAAAGCATAGAAAAGCCGTAAAGATATCTCGAATGGTGCATTTTCTCAAATACTTAACAGCGGGGCATGATGAATTTCGAACAAAAGTGCCATAAATGTTCATTCTCATCATACCTCAAAGCTTCTTCATTATGCTTTATTGCCGTCATAAATTTCGGAATGCTTTATTATTCAGACGCATTTGTCCTGCTTTCCTTTACTCTTTTCCGCTCACCCCACTCGTGGCGTTGCTGTATTTTAGATAGATGAGGAAAGAACGACGACGTGTTTTACAGCAATAACTTTTAGGAGTTTCCTTTATCACTATTTTCACAGATTTTGTGGGCGGTCCGCGATTATAGTTTCTAAGTGTCAAATGTATATTTTAACTCTTAATCGGTAGGGTAAAACAATTTTATTCAAACGGTAGGTTACAGCATGCTTTACTAGCTTATAGACAAAGGGATAACAATGTTATTTTTTTTATTTATTTTGCTTTAACCACTTACGATTATTACCACAAGAAAAATACAAAAAGTAATAAAGATATCTTCTTCAAGTACTCTCTCCGCTACTGAGTTTGGCAATCATCATTGCTATTCGTATCTATGAAGCTGTTGCTTTAAATAATTGTTTATATGTACAAAGGAACCAGTCTCTTAAATTGCGCAGCCAATATATACGCTTGCCTTAAATCTTTCCTTGGATAAGTAACTAGAGCAACTACTTTTTTCTCCCATTACATGACCAAGATATTCCAACTTTCTCTATAACTAACTACATAGAGGCAGGTTACCAAAGAAAACAGAAGACTGTGGCATTCATCAATTTATCGGCTGCCTATGACACGGTTTGGAAAGATGGCCTCATCTATAAGCTCCGTAAAATAATCCCCTGCAAAGCAACCGCCCGACTCATAAATAATACGCTGAGCAGTAGAAACATCCGTGTAACCATGGGAACTACAGTGAGCAAACAGAGAACGCTTAATAATGGCCTCCCCCAGGGCTCCGTAATTGCACCGCTGCTATTTAGTATGTATATAGCTGATATGCCCCCTACCAGATCTAAAAAATTTGGATATGCAGACGACTGGGCACTTGCAACTC